TTTTTTTAAAAAAAAGATATAGCATTTAGTGCGATATAAAAATGCAAATAATTGTTCTGCGGACCACCAAATTTTTCTCAAAGACCACCGGTTGGTGACTGCTGCCCTAGGCAGAAGTTACCCCAGATCTGGATGTGTCACCCCCACTGGGTCTTTCTCACCCACCTACCCATATTTAGTGCTGCTGCCAGGCCAGGCAGCTCCCACGCCCCCTTTTCAGCCTCCTCTGCCTGGCTTTGCAATGGGAGACCCCTGCAGCCTCCACCCCCACCATTCCCAGGTGGGGACCCCTCCCCAAGTAGCCCAATAGGAAAACGGGGTGCAGGCCAGCCCCCCCCCCAACCCCAATTTCTTCCTTGCCCCTCTTTTCTCCTCTTCCTGTTCCCCCCTCCATTCCCATAGGGGGAAGGCCATTTTCCAGCCGTGCCACCTCCCTGAACCCCGCTTTTTATGGATCGAGGGGGGTGTTTCCTCACCGCCTGGGCGATGGTGGTGCCGATGGTGGTGCTGCTGGAGGAGCATCTTCAGGTCGCCGTTCTCTTCCCGGCCGCTTCCCTGAGGCGCCGCCGCCGCCGTTGTCGTCGTCCCCGGCAGGGTTTTCCGCCTCTCCTTCTCGCGTTTCTCCTTCGGCTTCTTGCTCTTGGCCCCGCCGGGGCCCTCCACGCCGGCCAGGCAGAGAGAAGGAGGCGGCGGCGGCGGCGGAAGAAGCAACTTAGGGGGCAGCTGAGGCTGGAAGACGAAGGAGCCGCCGCCGCCGCCGCCGGTCGGGCCGCCGCTTCCCCCGCCTGAGGAGAAGGCGGCCAGGCTCCACACGGCGGGGCCCGCCGGGGAAGACGCCACGGGGATGTGAGGCGGTGGAGGAGGAGGCGGAGGCTGCCTGTGGCCCTCGCCGTTGAGGCGCTTGGCCGCCTTGAAGCCGCGCTCGTCCCCTCCCTTCAGGCGCTTGGCGGCCGGCGGCTGGAGCCCGCGCGGGGAGACGCGGGCGTCGACGGCCAGAGCCGGGGGAGGAAGAGGAGGCGGCGGCAGAGGCGCCACCGTCGCCCCTCGCACGGGACTGGGCAGCTCCGCCATTTTGAGATCCGCTTCTATTTACCTCACAGCGCCCGTCGCTGGAGAGAGAGAGAGAGAGAGCGAGCCGGGAGGGGCGGGGAAGCGGAGACGGGGGGGCGGGCCGAGCGCGGCAAGCGCCACTTTCGCCGGCCAATAGGAAGGCCGCCCGCCTCGGAGAGACGCCCGGTGCCGCCAATGGCGGAGGGGCGCGCGAGGGCGGGAAGAAAGGGAGGGAGAGAAGGAGCGGTTGTCCGCTGAGGCGATTTTCGTGAGGGGGAGAAAAAAAAAACAACCGCCAGGCGGGAAGCGTGAGGCGAGGCTCGGTTGGTCTTCCCGGCGGGCGGCCCTCGTCGGAGCTGAGGGAAATGTTGCCGAGGGGCTCCCTTTCCCTGCCAAGGATAGCCGCCGGCGGGAGAAGCTTCTCTCCTCAGAGCCCCGCCGGAGGGCCTCGATGCCCAACCGCCCGCGGCAGCCATCTTGAAGAGGCGCCTGGGCGAAGATGGTGCCTCAGGAGCGGGGGCGGCGGCGGCGGTGGAGGAGGAGGAGGAGGCGTCCCCGTCGGCCCGCCCCGGAAAAGCCCGGGGAGCGCGGAGAAGGACCTCTCCGCAGCGCTCTGGAGGCCCGGCTTGCGGGAAGGAACCCGGGGGAGAGGGGGGAACGCCAGCGTTCATGGGCCGTTTTGGTCCGCAAAGCGAATAAAATGCTTTCAAAGCTGGTCCTCGGGAAGTGGGGGGGGGGGCGATATATAACGCGCCGCCGAGCCCGGTCTTGCTCTGAGTCGTTGTCGTCGTGTGAACGGAAGAAAAGTGGCAGGCAAAGGCCCGGGGAGTCCGGACCCGGGTTACGGCGAAAAGTTACCTTGGGCGAATGTAGCCTTGGTTGGGTTTTTATTTTTGGTTTAAGGAGAGAATGAAGTGAACGTGGGAATAGGAGAGAGATAAGAGACGCGCGTGCTTCCGTCGGTCTTTTGGAAAGGGCGTAACTAGCCGAGGCTGGGGGCAAAATTTCCTCGCAAACTGCGGGATATTAAGACAATGGAAGATCGTTTTGTAGAAGTTTGTAGAATTGTGGCTACTGTGGAAGTTGGGAATTGCAATAGAAGGACTTTATATACCAATTGAGAATTGCAATAATAGATGGTCATTTTAAGGAAACAGAGAATTGCAATAATAGATGATCCTTCTATGGAAGTTGGGAATTGCAATATAAGATCCTTTTATAGAAGTTGAGAATTGCATTGAAATCTTGGCAGGGTACTTGTTGTTTGTAAGCTACTATGTAGTTGGGTCAGTCTGGTGGTGTGGATCTTTGAGGCTTAGTATGTATATTTAAGACCCCTTTAACTTGCATGCTATAGCAATCTTGTAGATCAGTTTCTGATGCCTTCCCCTTTCAAAACAATAGCAATAGCAATAGCAGTAGACTTATATACC